AAATTTTCTTTTCTCTGGTTGTACATGATGTAGCACCACACCACATGTGCAGTCGTACATGTATCTAGGGTAATGATGTCCATCTCATTCTACCATCTTTCCTCCCCTCCCTTCCTTTGCCCAATCACAGTTTCTAATCATTATTTCTAAACTTGCTCCTCTTCCTTGAATTCTCTATTGGTGAATGGTACCATGTCTTTACTCAGTCACAAAATTAACACTTCTAAAAGTAATTTTTAGATTTTTCCATTCTGTTTGAAGTAGTCACCAGGTCTTATGCATTTGCTGGTTTTGTTCCTACTTCTCTCTTTCTACTACCTTAATTCAGCCTGTTCTCCAAACACATTTCCGTGACTCTACTTTTTCTCCAGTGTTCCATAGAGTTGTCAGAAAATCCAGATGAAAATCTGAACATTGCCACTTTCTATTAAATTTTTTTTTACTGGTGTTCTGTAGCTTTCAGAATAAAGTTTGAACTCTCTAGCTTAGTTTAGGATTTACTCTTACTTTTTTCATAATCTTTGTCACTTTCCCACATGTACCTTTCATTCTAACTGCAGCACTATTTTGTAAGTTTAAGAACAGCTATTTTCATACCTCTGTGCCTTACACACAATTATACTTCTGAATAATCCTACAGCTTCTTCTTCATATAGCTAAATTTCCTCCTAACATTTCCTTCTAAAAATTTTCAAACATACAGCAAAGTTGAAAGAAATTTACAGTAAGCATCTATGTATCCAACTACCTATGTTGTACCATTAATGTTTTGCTATTAGTTTATGACGTCTGTCTATTTATCCATTTATCCATTTTACTTTTGGTGCATTTCAGAGTAAATTCCAGGAATCAGTATACTTTTCTCTAAATACTTTAGCATACAATCTTTAACTGAGGTCAGTATTTGTTTGCATTATTTTCTGTTTATGTGAAATAGATCTGCAATGAAATGTACAAATCTAAATGCACATTTGCTGAGTTTTGACAAAGCTTGCATCTTTATAACCCAAGATGGAGATCATGACAACTACCCAAGGAAGTTCCCTCATTCTCCTTCTAAGTCAGTCTTACTCCCATCTCCCAGAAAGTTTTATTTCTATTGAAGATTAATTTTCCTGTTTTTTTTTTCTTTTTTTTTGTCTTTTCTAACTGGAGATTGAATCCAGAGATGCTTTACCACTGAGCTGCATGCCCAGTCCTTTTGATTTTTTTAATTTTTGAGACAGGGTCTGACTAAGTTGCTTAGGACTTTATTAAGTTGCTGAGGCTGGTCTAGAACTTGTGATCCTTCTGCTTCAGCCTCCTGAATGTCTAGAATTACAGGTACTACCGTACCCTGCTATTTTTCTGTTTTAACCCAGCTAATTTTTTTATCCTGTGAGAGTAATCATTTTCCTGAAGAAAGTCTTCCTTGCTTTCCAGTTTTGGTTTATAGGCCCACAGCCCAACCTGTGCTTTCACTGAATTTACCACAAGGAAGAAAGCTGAGTATTCATCACACTGTGCTTTAGTGTTTTTTTTTTTTTTTTTTTTTTTTGCAGCGTGGGGAATGGAACCCAGGGCCTTGTACATATTAAGCAAACAGTCTACCACTCAGCTACACCTCAGGCCAAGAAATGGTTTTGTTGTTTGACTTCTGGTAGTTTATAGTTCATTAATAGATGGATTGGTATCTTACGGCCAGATACAATGCTTGACACATGTATAACATTTAGTGAAAGTTTGTGGAATTAAAGTAGATCGACAGCGGTAGTTAGGGGTTTTGGCTAAGAGTGTGATAATTAAATTGATAGGCTAGGAATAATGCTTCAGTTGCAGTGTTTGGGGCTAGTTCATCATTGATATTTGTTGGATGACCTCATAGTGTCTGTGTCCTAAGTTCTTAGCAAAGTGATGGATTGTTGAGTCTTATGTGCATTTTGTAGCTATATAATATCTAAGATAAAGGGGACTCAGAAGTACATAGTGGGTGATGGTTAGTGAGATGATGAATAGTGAGCAAGTTAGTGAGAAAGCATTTGTTTATTTTGCTAGTATTTTAAAACCACTGTTTCTTCTCTTTCCTGCCCACATACCTTTTTTTTTTTTTTTTCCCTTTTCTCCTATCTTAACCTGGCAGTACATTTGGCCTAGTAGATTCAGATGGACCTTGCTATGCGGTGATGGTGTATAATATGGTGCAGAGCTGGGGAGTGCTCATTGGGGACTCCGTAGCCATCCCTGAGCCTAACTTGCGGCTTCACCAAATTCAGCACAAAGGAAAGGTGAGTAGTGACTTGGATTCTCTTGCAATTCATAGACTCTGAAAATGGAACAAAGCTTATCTCTTTTTAAAAAATACACATAAAAGTGTGAAAATGTGTGGGTATGGTAAATATTTGTGTGGGTATGGTAAATATTTGCGTGGGTATGCTCTGTTCCCTTTTTTTTTTTTATAGAAAAGGGAAACTATGGTAAACAAAAAGAAACTAAAAATTGACTGAAATATTGTCATGGAGATTTACTACTGTCAATAGTTTGATGTACCTAGCTCCAGTTCTTTTCCTTTTCAGAAATATATGCACACATTTTACTTTTAAATTATGTATGGGATATTACATGCCAATGTTTGTGAACATTTTCCTTGTTTTTACATATTCCACTACATTGTTTTGAATTGAGTCATAGGAGTAGTGATGATGATGGTAGCTAACATTTATTGAACAATTAACTGAGTGCTAGACACTGCTAGGAGTTTTATTGCCTATGTTGCCTGATCTGATTCTTTACAAAAACCTTATAAGAGTAGGCATGTAACCATGTTTTCATCATTTAGGCAGCAAACTATGTTATGCTGACCAAATCTGGTTCACCACCTATTGTTGTCTGGCCTGTGAGCTAAGAATAGTTTCTATATTATTAAATGTTAAAAAGGAAAAAAGTATATTTTGTGATACGTGAAAATTACAGGAAATTCAAGGGTTAGTGTCCATTAAGCTTTATTAGAACACAGCCACACTCACTTGTTTGCATCTGAATGCCAGAGGTGAATTGTTCTGCAACAGACCCCATAACCCAGCAAGCCTGACATTTTTACTATCTACCTCTTTAACAGAGTTTGATTACCCCAGATCTAGATTATTTTAAATTTTTCCAAACATAAAAATAATGAACATTTTAATATCTTTGTCTATATCTATGATTATTTCCTTATGTGAATTTTTAATGTAGATTTTTGGGTGTAAAGGGTGTATAGAATTCAAAGGTTTTTGACACACATTGCCAAATTATTCTTTGGAAGGTTGTACTAGTTAGTTGTTAACTACCAACAGTGGATATAGGTGTTCTGTGTAGTTTCTTCCCAATACTGGGTACTGTTTTAATTGGTTTATTGATTACTTGTGAGTTTGAATATTTTATTATATGTTTCTTGAGTTATTTATGTTTCTTCTATAAATTGTCTTTTTTGTTGTTGCTTGCACATATTCTTGTTAGGATTTTTTAAAAATTTGATTTATGAGAACTCTTTATTTTATTTACAAGAGTTGATTTCACACTATCAGTGGAATAATGTTTTTTGGATGAGGATCTTTTAGCAACATGTTTTACAACTTAAAATACATTTGAACAGGGAAAGTGAGCTGATATCTTTTCTGTTATTAAGACAAAGGTGACATTCTATTTCTTGGTCTATTCCTTCCTCTTGATATAAAAGGGAGGAGTCACTTTAATTTTTTCTTGGCACATTAGTTTAGGGCCTTACAAACACTTGGGCTAACAGTTAAGAGTTTCCAGTGGCTCTGGTTTGCTACTGTATGTATCTGGTTACCTGTCAGAAGATGCTGGTGAAGGACCAACTCTGAGCTGATAGCATTTTTTTGTTAGGCAGAGCAAGGAATTTGATATTCTTGGAGTTACACTTCCTGCCCAGATTTTCCTTCTGATGATTGGAACTTTGGAAAAATTATGTCTACTTTGTTAGCTGTTTTTTTTTCTAGTGAAAGATTTGGGTAAGGGGTGTATACATAGGACCAGTGAGAGAGTAAGTTGCCCATGGTGTTGCCCAGTGATGGAGTGTTTTCTGCCTTAGGATCTGTAATGAACCTCTGTCTGTCTTCTAGGACTATTCCTTTTCCAGTATTCGTGTGGAGACTCCCCTCCTGCTGGTGGTGAATGGAAAGCCTCAGGGTTCCAGCAGTCAGGCTGCTGCCACAGTGGCCTCTCGACCACAGTGTGAATGACCTCTCCTGACTTGCATGCTGAAGAGGGAGTGGAGGCGAGGATATACGCTGAAGGCACTCAGCCACTGGACCAGCCACATCCAATGACTCTGAGGGGTTTGGGGAGGGAGTATTTTAAATGAAGACTTTCCCTTTTCCTGCCCAATAAGATATTTTGTGTCTCCTTTTTTTGTTTTCCTCCCATCATGTTCCAGCTCTTTTCAGAGCCACATGGTCTCATGATATATCTCTCCTGCCTTTTTTAACTTTTTGACTGCTGTTTTAAGCAAAGAGCTTAGAATTGGTAGAAGCGTTAGAATCTTGCCATGGGACAGGGTCCCCAAGGTTCCTGGTTTTTGTCTCCGTCCTGAGTCTAATATGTATATATCAGTTCAGTATTTATTGCTAAGGGGAGGGGTGCTTAACTTTTTAATGGCTTGATTTTTGAGCATTTTTTAAGATTTAAGTTCTTCCCCTTATTTGGGGCTGGAACAAAATTAAACTTGTTTCAAAGAAAAAAATACCATGTAGTTTGGTTTGCTTTTTTCTCTCCAGGCTTGGATTCTTGCATTTAAGATCTATTGAAATAATACTGTCTATTTGGTTTTTATATAAAATAGTTTATTTCTCTCCCAGTTAAAAAATTTTGGCAATAGACAGCCCAGGAATGAAAGCTCCAGAAGGTTGCTGGAGAAACAGTTTCATTTCATATTCTTATTTTATCATCCTTAGATGTGGTCCTCATTATGGTCCAAAGTGGCAGAGCAATATTATTCTAATAGTGTTTCCTAGGCTGAAAGACCAGAAAAAGCCATATATTTCATTTCTTCAGGTTCTAGTGATATATTTTATAAGTTTCTCTCAATATTTTCATGGAAAAATAAGGAAACATGAATGAGAATTAATAACCAATTGAACAGCTGTAAGATATTAATAATTACAGATGTATTTGGAAGACTTCTAGTGATATAGCTCAGGTCTTTCTCCTTGGTACAGTCCTGTTCAACTCTTGTTCAGTGACTTGAGTATCATTGAAATTTTGTAAAGAATGTAAAATACTTCTCAGTGAATTGATTACAGTGTTCAAGCCTATCTAAAGAAGTTATATCTATCTTCTATAGGTATAGAAGATAGAAGTTATCTTCCATCTGTCTAAAGAAGTTATAAAAGTTGAATGTAACAAGATAAATTTTTTTATTGGTACATTTTAATGGAATTCATTATGCTATAGTCATACATGTGCATAATGTAATTTGATCAATCTTATTGCCTAATACCTCTCCTTCTCCTTCCCTTCTCCACCTGATCCCCCCTTGATCTAATGGTCTCCCTTCTGTTATTATTTTTAATTAGTGCATTATAATTTCATACAATAGTGGGATTCTAGTGGTATGTTTGTACATGGATATAGCATAATTGGTAGATTTCATTCCCCAGTACTTCCCCATGCCTTTTTCTCTTCCCTCCTTCTTGATCCCCTTTCTATACTTTATTGGTCCCCTTTGTGAGATTCCCATTTTTTCCTCTCTAACTGCCACCTCAGAGAAAATACTAGTCCCTTGTCATTCTGAGTCTGGATTATTTCACTTAGTACAATATTCTCTAGTTCTATCCATTTATAAGCAGATGACACAATTTCATTCTTCTCAGGCTGAGTAAACCTCCACTGTGTATATATACCATATTTCCTTTGTTGATAGATACCTAGGCTGGTTCCATAACTTAGTTATTGTGGATTGTGTTGCTCTAAACATTGGTATGTATGTATTCCTATTGAATGCTGATATTAGTTTATCCTTCAAGGAGAAGGATAAATGTATTGTATGGTGGTTCCATTCCTAGCCTTTAGAGAAATGTTCATACTATTTACAAAATGATTGTATTAATTTTCAGTTCTATCAACAATATATAAGTGTACATTTTCCCACATCCTCTCTAGCATTTAATATTGTTTTCTTGATGCTTGCCATTCTCACTGGAGTGAGATAAAATCTCAGTGTAGTTTTGATTTGCATTTCCCTGATTGCTAAAGATGTTGAACATTTTTTCATATATTTGTTGGCCATTTGTATGTCCTCGTTTGAGAAATGTCTGTATAAGTTATTTGCCTACTGACTGGGTTATTTGTTTTTCTGGTGTTACTTTTTTTTTAGTTCTTTATATATCTGGATATTAATCCCTTATTGGAAGAGTAACTAGCAAAGCTTTTCTCCCATTCTGTAGGTTCTTTCTTCATGCTCTTAATTATTTTCTTTGCTGTGCAGAAGCTTTTTAATTTGATGCCATCCTTCTTATTGATTCTTATTTTATTTCCCAAGCATCAGGAGTCTTATTAATTCAATTCCTGTATTTTGGAGTATTGACACTATGTTTTCTTCTAGCAGTTTCAGTGTTTCTGGTCTAATTTCTAAACTCACTTTGAATTGAATTTTTATGCAGGGTGAAAGATAGGACTCTAGTTATTCTTCTACATATATTCAACATCATTTGTTGAAAAGGCTATCTTTTATCTAATGTATTTTTTTTGGCATCTTTGTTGAGTAACAAATGACTGTATCTTTGTGGATTTGTTTCTGAGTTTTCTATTTCATCCATTGATCTTCATTTCTCTTTTCATGCCAAACAATGCTGTTTTTGCTACTGTAGTTATGTAGTGTAATTTGAGATTAGGTGTTGTGATGCTTTCCAACATTGCTTTTATTGCTCAAAATTGCTTTAGCTATTCTGGCTTTTTTATTCTTCTATAAGATTTTTAGGACTTTTTTTTTCTAGTTCTGTAAAGAATGTCATTGATATATTGATAGGGATTGTATTGGATCTGTAGATCACTTTTGATAATAAAGCCATTTTGACAATTCCAAGAGCATGTTAGGTCTTTCCATTTTCTAAGGTCTACTTCAATTTCTTTCTTTCTTGTTCTGTAATTTTCATTGTAGAGGTTTTTTGCCTCTTCAGTTAGATTTACTCCTGTGTGTGTGTGTGTGTGTGTGTGTGTGTGTGTGTGTGTGAGAGAGAGAGAGAGAGAGAGAGAGAGAGAGAGAGAGAGAGAGAGAGAGAGGTTATTGTGAATGAAATTGTTTTCATGGTTTCTTTCTCAACAGATTCATTATTAGAATAAAGGAAAGCTATGGATTTTGTATGTTGATGTTATATCTCACTACTTTGCTGATTTTTTTTAATTAGCTTAGATATCTAGTAGAATTTTGGGGATTTTTAAAATGGATCATGTCATTAGCAAATAGAGACAAGTTGTCTTCTTTTTCTTGCCTAATTTCCCTGACTAGAGTTTCAGGTATTATATTGAATAGGAATGATGAGAGTGGACATCCTTAATAAGGTCTTTTGATTCATAAGGCTAAGTTTCTGAGGTGAATCTTCAGAAAGAAGATAATCATGTATAAAAATCACTAGGTATTTTCATAGATAAGGCCCAGTCAGTATGAGTAATCAGTATCATAGAGTTGCTAAAGGACTCTCTGACTATACCAAGATATTTGTGATAGAGTTTTTAATAGAGTGTTTGTCTCTCAGAACACATGGAATCTTGAATTTAGTTTCTGCTGTCAATTTTGAGGTCTCTAGTCAACAAGAGTGATTAGGAGCTTGTAGGGTTATAAAATTGTCTTGAGTAATAGCTGAAAGCAGCTAGGGAGTATAGGTTGGTAAACATTAGAGATAGGAGAAATGAGACCTGCTATGGTTAATTGTGATATGTTCCCTAAAAGCTCATATGTGAGAGAGTGCAAGAAAGTTTAGATGTGGAATGCTTGGGTTATGAGACCCTTAACCTAATTAGTGCATTAATCTCCTGATAGGGGTTAACTGGGTGGTAAATTGGCAGGTAGGTTGTGGATGGAGGAGGTGGGTCATTAAGGGTGTGCATTTGAGATATACATTTTGTCCTTTTTGAGGGGAGCTCTCTCTGCTTCCTGGTGCCATGTCCTGAGCTGCTGTCCTTTGCCGCATTCACCATAACATCCTGCTTTACCTTGGATCCTGTGAATGGAGTGGTCTACCTGTGAATTGAGACCTCTTAACACAGTGAGCCCTGAAATAAACTTTTCCTCCTCTAATTGTTCTTGTCAGATCTTTTGGTCACAGACAGCAGCAAAAAAGCTATGACTAAAAGAAATTGATGCTGAGAAGTAGGGTTCTTGCTGAGACTAATGTAGTTCAGAAACTTTTGGAGCTTTTTGGGATTTGTGGGAGGAAAGTTTAGCAATGTAAGCTGGAAAAACTTTAGAATGTTATGAGAGGAACTTAATGGCCAATTCTGGTGGGAGCTCAAAAGACCAGAATGCTGATAGGACTATATACAGTAAAGATTGGGTTCAAGAGTTTTCAGAGAAGAAGGACTCTATTGGAAATGGGACTAGAGTCCATTTGTGTTATGTTCTGGCTAAGAAGTTGTCTTCATTTTGCCCATGTTTTGAGACTTTCTGTGAGGCTAAATTTGAAGGTGATGGATTTCTTAACCTAGCAGAAGAAATTTCTAGGCAGTATAGTATTCAGGATGTAATATTCATGGATATTGCTGGTGGCTTTTATCCAAGTTTTTTTGTGATAATCAGGAGCAGAAAGCAAAGCAGAAAGATTTGAAAAACTTGCAGCTTGGCCAGAAAACTGTGAGTAAAAGTGGGGTAAGGAAGGTATGGTTGTTAAAAACAACACATCCACTACAGAAACACTAAATACTTTAACCAGAGACAATAGGAAGGATGGCTTGAAGGCTTCTCAGGAATTGGCAAGACCATATCCATTTCAGGTTCAAGGGCATAAAAATAAAAATTCCTTTGAGAAGGAATAAACCATTGGATTTCCCTGCTTGCAGGGAGAAGATGGTAGGAAGTTGTTACAACATGCTCAGCCACCGAGGTACTCAGAGGCTGCTGCAGCCTTGGTCCCTGGAGGCTTGGCTACTGCTTGAGATGGTGGCAGACCTTGGTGTCAACCATGTGGTGCTGATTCTACAGAAATGCAAGATGCTCCGGTTAAGGGGTCATGGATGCTTACACCAAGATTTCAAAGGAAGGCCTGGGAGGCCAGGCAAAGTGCAGGAGGGTTGGAGTTCCCTTGTGAGGAGGAAGCCGGAGCTGCAGTGGAGACTCCTGAGATTAATCTTAATCTCCTTTGTGGAGGAGAGCTGCAGGAATCCATCAGAGGCAAGCTAAGAGAGAGGTCATGTGGGCTGTCATGCGCTTAGGATGCCATGTGCTTCAGATGCTGGACATGGAAATGTAGGACTTGTTTGCCCATCTGGATTTCAGTCTTGTTTTGGTCCCATCCCCTCTTTCTATGCCTCTGTTTCTTCACATGGAAATGCTTACTCTGTGCCTTTATATATTGGATGTATGTAACTTGCTTTTGATATTTACAGCTCATTTTGAGAGTTTGCCTTGAGTCTCAAAGGAGACATTGTACTTGGAATTTTGGGCAATGCTAGAACTGTTAAGAATCAGATTAAATGTTTCTTAACAGTTCTAGCATTTAATCTGATTCCTGGGAATCAGATTAAATGTATTTTTCACTGTGAGATGGACGTGAGTTTTAGGGGGCCAGGGGTGGAGTGTTATGGTTTACCTATGAGGTATGTGCCAAAAGCTTGTGTGAGACAATGCAATAAATTTTAGAGGTGAAATGTGTATGGAAAATGACAAATCCCAAAATAGTGTGGTCTGGGAAGAGGGAGTGAGAAAGAAGGCCAAACATTGATAACATTGATCCTTTCCCAATACCTCCCTTCCCAGTGACAAAGACCGTCCCTGGGAAGGAGATATCCATCAAATCTAAAATGTCAGTGTCTGGGAGGAAGCCAAAGCATTGATCCTTCCCCAAATCAATCCCAGTGACAGTACAACAGGACCCCCAAGGGACAGAGATAAGCATTGAATGCTGACCTCCAGACCCTCCATTCTTCCCCAAGTAAAAACATTGTCCAGTAAAAACAAATTTCAAATTCTCACAACCTGTTTCCTGAGTACCCAAACTGATATGCTTTGTCAATAATTAAGTCACCTCTCAGTGTAGCATATATAAGCACAGATTCCTCCTTTGGCTAGTGACTCATTATCCATTGGGAAAGTATGTCCACCAGATGCATGACTCCACTGCTGAATAAAAGCTTTGCTGATCTGGGAAGTTTGCACTGGGCTTGGTTATGATTTTGGGTTATGAGAATCTTGACCTAATCAGTGCATTAATCCTCTGAGAGGGATTAACTGAATGTGAGGCAGCAGGGTTGGTCATTGGGGGGCATGTCTTAAGGATACATATTTGTGTCCTTGTTGAGGGGAGCTCTCTTTATGCTTTTTGGTGCCATGTCCTGAGCCACTTTCCTCCTTCACACCTTTTCATCATGATGTTCTGCCTCATTTTGGGCTCAAAGCAAAGGAGTCAGCCATCTATGGACTGAGATTTCTGAAACTGAGACCCAATATAAATTTTTGCTCCTCTAATTGTTATTGTCAGGTCTTTAGTCAGCAATGAAATAACTGATTAAAATATGGCCCAATAACTGTTTTCCTTTTACTGAAGTCCTGAGATGATTTGACACACTCATTTTAGGGCCAGAGATAAAAAAATGATCAGTAGGTACTAACCTGAGAGAAGCAGTATGTAAAAAACAGAAAAGTATGCAAAATATGTAAGAATGGATTCAAGAATAATGAGAATACTGTGGAATATTTAACTATTATTCATGGTAATGAGACTGTTGGACATGGGAAAATTTCAGTTCAACATAAGAAAGTTACTGTTGAAACTATCAAAATCTAAACTGCGCTGCTTTAGGAGATGTGAATTCTTTTTGAAATGAAGACTACTGGATATATTATTGAGCACATTGAATGAGATTCCTATATCTGGAAATAGTTGACTTAAGATTACTTTCAGTTCTAATGTTTTATGACTTAGTGGATCTTATTTCTGTCCTTTACAACTCTTGACTTGTTGCTCAGACTAGTGAAGACTAGTTGGCTGAGTATTAATCTTCCAGTTAGGTTGAATGTATTTCCAGACTAAACTATGAACAAAGAGACCCTCAGAAACACATTTGGATCTCTGTAAGTCAAGAACTTACTGTTTTCTCCTAAGGCTCTAGACTTTGAGTATCTTATCAACACACTTAGAATTTTGAAATAGAGAACTTTTTATGTGCAAACAAAGAGAGTTTTTGAATTAGGTTATTCTTGGGCTCACAGAGCCTGAATTTTCTTTAGGACAGAGGATCATGCTTATTTACATAACCAGTCCTGTCTTAAGATTAAAGTGAGTTCTAATGATACACCATTCCTTTTTTTTTTCATTCCTTATAAGTCCTTAGATCTGACTCTTCTCTACATTTGAAATTTGTGTGCTAATATGGAATGAATTGAGTAATAGGAGAGCTCTCACTAAGGTTCTATCAAGTTTTGGCTAGGTAGCAACTTCATGTTTCCTATGGCTTAACATTCAGTGTGAGAGAAAAAGATCTTGTGACTAAGCTCAGTGCTCATTGGTATCTCCACTGCTAACTATGTCCGTTCTTCCAGGAAACTCTATACATAATCCTGGGTCTATTCCTTGAGGCCTCTTTGGTCTGGAAAATATTTAGGGAAGGTGACATCAAATCCAACATTTCCTTGATTCTTAGAGAAACTCTTCTTTGCCTAATTTTAAATGTCAAATTACAAGGTAACAGATAATTTATACATCATAAAATTCTTGTGTCATAATTTAAATTGTAGAGTTTTCTATTATAAAGGCCCAAAGGTAATGGTGCTTCTATCTATAGTATCTTAGAATTAAAGAAATACAGAAATTGTATTTTGTGGCAGCTGCTCTGTATCAGGTTCCTTTCTTATTTTTCTTTATATATGATGGTCAACTTTCCATAACAGTTAATATGAATCTACCACATTATCTTAAAATGTCTGCATAGGATTCCAGTTAATGGACATCATCATTTGTTTTATCATTCTACTTGGTTGGTTATTTATGTTTCAAAAGTTGTGAATTACACAACACAGTGAACTTTTGGAAGCATTAATATTAGGTAAATGTTATGAAATGAACTTGTTGATTGGTTAATGTGCTGATTTGTATTCCATAAAAGATGTATCAGTTTATATATCTATCAACTATTATATAAGAGTGCCTATTCATGAATTGGGATATGATTTTTACATCTGTTAGGCAATATGATTCTTTGTTGTTTCAAATTCACATTCTTTTATTTTTTACTTTTTTTATTAGTTGCTGAAGACAATGATCTTGACATATCATACATTTGATTCAAATGGGGTATGAATTCTCATTTTTCCACGTGTGCAGATTGCAGGATCACATTGGTTATACAGCCACGTTTATAATGAATCACTTGTTTGGTACTTAACAAATTTGATGTGAAGTGTAAAAATGGGCATCTGAGTTTGAGAAGATTGTATTAAAAATGTAGGTAATATTTGGGCAATGATGTAGCACTTTGTACATTTTGTATAGCACATTTGATTGTATTATACTTAATTATATGAGTTGAACTCTTTTTTTTCCATAACTTATTGAGGTAAAGTGCACATATTTGAAGTGTGAATTTGATCAATTTTGACATTAATGTAACAAATACAATCAATATAAAAAGTATTTCTATTACTGTTTTATATTTGAAATCATGCAGTCTGTGTTTCCTTCATGATTTATTACATTAGAAATCAATCACCTTAAGATATGTAGAACTTCACCCCCACATGTCAACTATTTAAAAAATAAATTGCGTACTTATAATCTCAGAGGTTAAGGAAGAAAGCCCCAGAAAAGTAAATAAAAAGTGCTTTGAACTAAGTGATATTAAAAGCTTAAAATATCAGGATCTCTGGGTTGAAACAGTACTTGGATGAACATTTATAACTTACAGTACTTGTATCAGAAAGAAGCTAAGATAATAATCAAATTATTTTCAAATTATGTAGTAGAAAGGAAAAAAATAAGAGTAAGAACAGAAATATATGAAATAGAGAAGAAATTTGATATAAAATTAACAAGTTTAATCAAGAAAAAAGCAAGAACACAAAAATTAATATCAATGAAAAGGGAGCTATCAAAATCACCCTCCAGATGCTAAAAATATAATAAGGTAATTTTAACAATTGTATGCCAACATATGTGATAGCTTATATAACATAGTCTATGTTAAAGAAGGATCTGTGTGCTGCTGAGAAGAAAGTGTATTCAGTCATTGGTGGATGAAATATTTTATATATATCTGTTAAGTGTAAATTATCAATTGTATTTTTTACTTCTATAGTTTTTTTTTTTAATTTAGTTTTTGTTTGGAGGATCTATCCAGTGGTAACAAAGGCATGTTACAATTACTCAGTATTATTGTGTTATGGTCTATTTGGTTCTTGAATTTGAGAAGGGTTTGTTTGATTTACATAGGTGCTCCAGTGTTTGGGGCATAAATACTTAGGATTGTATGTCTTGTTGTTGATGTATAATTTCCTTATGCAGTATGAAATAGCCTCTTTGTTCCTTCTGATTAACTTTGGCTTAAAGTTCACTTTACCTGATATGAGGAAAGAACCCTCCCACCCCCCACTTTTTTTTTTAATGTGATCCATGTGAGTGGTATGTATTTTCCCATCCTTTCACTTTCAGTGTGTGGATGTCTTTGCTGTGGGGTGAGTCTCTTGGAGACAACATATTGTTTGGCCTTGTTTTTTAATCTAATCTGCCAGTCTGTGTCTTTTGATTGATAAATTTAGGCCATTAATGTTCAAGGTTATTATTGAGATGATTTGCATTCCTGGTCATTTGGGCTTATTTCTGTTTTTGTTTGTTTGTTTATTTGTTTGTTACCAGAGATTGAACTCAGGGGCACTCAACCACTGAGCCACATCCCCAGCCCTATTTTGTATTTTATTTAGAGAGAGGGAGGGTCTCACTAAGTTGTTTAGTCCCTTGCTTTTGCTGAGGCTGGCTTTGAAATCAAGATCCTCCTGCCTCAGCCTCCTGAGCCAGTGAGATTACAGGTGTGCACCATCACACCTGGCTTATTTCTGGCTTTTAATTTGAATTAATTTCTCCTTTGATTGACTATTCCTTTAGTGCAGTTCCTCCCTTTGCTGGTTTTCATTTTTTAAAAAAATTTATCTTCATGGAATATTTTGTTGAGAATGTTCTGTAGTACAGGCTTTCTAGTTGCAAATTCTTTTAAGTTTTGTTTATCATGGAAGGTTTTTATTTTACCTTCAAATCAAAAGCTTAATTTTGTTGGATATAGGATTCTTGATATAGGATATAGGATATAGGATTTTCTTTCAAAGCTTGGAATATATTATTTTGGGACCTCCTATCTTTGAGGGTCTGGATTGAGAAATCATCTGAGATCTGAATTGGTTTGACCCTATATGTAATCTGATATTTTTCTCTGGCAGTCTTTAAAATTCTATACTTATTCTGTGTGCTAGGCATTTTCATTAAAATTTGCCTTAGCGTGAGTCTGTGGTGATTTTGTACATTTGGGGTCCTGTAAGCCTCTTGTATTTGATTTTCTATTTCATTCTTTAGGTTTCAGAAATTTTCTGATATTATTTCATTGAAAAGTTTGTGCATTTCTTTGGTTTCTATCTCCACACCTTCATCTATCCTGATAAATCTTAAATTTGGTCTTTTCATGTTATTCCATAGTTCTTGGAAGTTCTGTTCATAATTCCTTAACATCTTCTCTCCATGGTCAACTTTATTATCAAGATTATATATTTTGTCTTTATTTTCTGAAGTCTGTCTTCCAAGTGGTCTAGTCTGTTGGTGATGCTTTCTATTGAATTTTTAATTTGGTCCAGTATCTCCTTCATTTCAAGAATTTCTTTTTCTTTCTTTTTTTTTTTTCAGAATCTCCACCTCTTTATTGAAGTGATCCTTCTCATCCTGCATTTTCTCCCTGATTTCATTTCTTATAGTGTCCTTTACTTCACAGATCAGTTTAACTATGTACATTCCAAACTCCTTCTCTGACATTTTTCCACCGTGGTGTCAGTGGATTCTGTTATTGGAGTATCTTGGTTTGCTTTGGGTGATATATGATGTGATGATTTTGAGGGACGAGGAGTGATGAAGTAAAAAATTAAAGGAAGAGTAAAAGAATAATAGAGGAATCTGAGATCTGAATTGGTTTCTCCCTATATGTAGATGGGGGCTTCTTTCCCCATGCATGGATAATAGAGATTTTTAGAAGAAAAGAGAAGTAAGGAATATAGGAGGAAAAAATATATAAAGTAAAAATTTAAAAAATTAAAAATATAAATAAAAGAACACAAAACAAAACTAAAATATACTAATCAAACATCCTAATTCACAAAAAAATCCATGAAAAATAAATGACTTTAAAAAAGCTAGGAATTGGTCTGGGGATGTGGCTCAAGCCGTAGTGTGCTCGCCTGGCATGGTACGGCCCAGGCTCGATCCTCAGCACCACATACAAACAAAGATGTTGTGTCTGCCGAAAACTAAAAAATAAAATATTAAAAATTCTCTCTCTCTCTTTAAAAAAAAAGCTAGGAATTAGGAGAAAAACAAATATGAATTTGTGTAAATGTTCTTGTTCCATTTAAGGTCACAATTAGAGAAAAAGAGTAAAAAAAGATCTTGATGAAAAGTTAAAGAATTATTTCCAATGGAGTTCAAAAGATTCTCAGTTTCTCTTCTCAGCACTTTTAGGTGGGGTCCTCTGAAGCATGATGCTCCTCTCCTCTGGATTGCTGTATTTGGAATTTCAGGAGGCAGGGTTTAGGCTTAGGTGGGCCTAAGCTTTTTACTGAATGCCAATTGGTCTGGAGATTTTAAATCAGGACACCTCCAGCACCCAGTACTTGCTGGTCCATGCTGGAAGACTGTATCCCAGAAAGCTTCCTGGGCTCCAGATGTGTGTTGGGGGATCCAATTCTTGGTCTCCTATGTCATCTTTGGACCCCAGGTTTCCTGGTCCTGGGTTCAGTCTCCAATCTCTCCCACCCTTGCCTTTCTGGATTCCCAACCAGATATGTCTCTCCCAGCTGGTCCTTCAAGCAGTTGGATTGGAGGAGAAGGGGTAGAGCTGAGTGGGCTTCCAAGACCAGTTGTCCCCTGTATAAACTCTCTATATTTGATTTTCACCTGATCACTTAAGCACACTTGTGGGGAGCCATAGTGAATGACCACACTCTTTCAGTCCTGATGCCTCAGATTCTGACCAATCACTGCATTTGCTCTGGCTGGGGAAGGGTCTAGTTTGGATAGTAAGAGATCTTCTTTGTGGGATGTGTCCCCAGGCTTGAGTTACACTCACCTGTCCCTTGTAGCCCTGTCCCTTGTGCCCTTTTTTGGATTGAACTTTATAAGAACAAGAGTCCTCCCGCCCCCCCATAAAAGCTCACTTCTGAGTGTACTTTCTCTCTCGCCATCCTCTCATGACTTTCTCTTGCTCTCCTTCTTGGGGAGGCCAAGAGCAGGGAAGCCATGCTGAAGCTTGTATTAAGGTAAATTGTGTCTGTGTTTTATTTGGTGTCCCTACAAATTCACATGCGCTCTTAAGTTCAGTTGCCCACCTGGTCGGGGGTGGCACACACTCTATGTTGAGCAGTGTGTTTGTTGGACCTGTATTTTGGGCCAAACTCAGGTTTGCCAGGAATTGATCCGCTCAGTGCTGCTCCCAAGCAGTGGCTGTGAAATAGTATCTTCCTTAGACCTCTGCACACTGCTTAGAGAGATAGGGGCTTCTTTCCCCACATATGGATAATGTGCAGCACATCTTTCAGGTTTTCCAGGTAATGTCCTTGATCTGTAAATGCTCTGTTCCCAAACTCACCTTGGGCATCCCCTAAATGTGGGTTTCTTTAATTTCCTTATCCTTCCATGATGCTCACGGAGGGACCACTCTGGCTGGTGTTTCCGGCCCTCCATGGCAGTGACTGTTTCATTGGGGATATCTTCTTTACTTGTTAATTTAGGAGATGGTCATTTCTGAGATTTTCTGGTACCATATCCAAAATCTGGATTATTTTGTTCCTATTGTGGGTATGTAGACAAGGCCAGGTTAACTCTGTCTAGGATGGGGAAGAAAGGTAATCCTGTTTCCTTTGAGATTAAGGATGAGGAGAGATTAGGGAGGAGCAGGGAGAGAGGAAGAGAGGAAGAGAAAGAGATATGTCCATTTAAAAAATAAGCTGCAGGGGCAGAGCAGCAATGGTTATATTCAAAGCATAAAGTGGACCACTGTTACACTTATTATATCCAACCTCCTGAGTCTCCGATCTGTTTTGAATGTCCAGTTTTAAATTCCGGTAAAGTCCTCCCACTTCTCACCTTTCTGAGAAGCTGCGTGTCTGCTTTCTTGGTTTCAGTCCATGGAGCAGCCAGAAACGCAATCTCCTCTATTGTGTCATCTTGAAAACTCCTTCATGAGTTGAGCTCTTAAGGATGTAAATTAGTCTGTCCTTTTCTCTGAGTTCTAGACATTGTCATATATATATCTCTGAGTGTTAGACATTGCCTGATTCAACAACAAAT